AGTTTTTCGTAACTTAAACCATGTTAATTTATTAGTGTTCTCAGCTATATAATAAATATGTGATTTGCGCATATATATTTATCGTATAAAAAATATTTAAGAAAATACATTAATGATCGAATATTTAAATGATTTATTTTATTTTGAATTATGTGATTTTATGTGAATTATTTGATCATGAATAATTCAAAATTCATGGTCATTATTGTCATTAGTTACTAGATCAATTAATTAAAATAGTATTAAAAATAATTGTATGGCCGCGTATCGTAGCTATTATTTTCTTTTTACTTATTTAATAGTATTTGAAATGTTTTTAATGTAGATACAACGAGAAAATGTGTTAAAAGAAAATAGATATGACTATATTTCGTTGAAAGAAGTAACCTAGTTAATTATTTACGTAACTCTTAAAACATAGGCAATTTACTGTATCAGTGCGTATGGCTATCCGATAAGACATTATTAACGAGAAATAATTTACTGAAAGTAATTGAAAAATATATAATACAATAATTGTAACAATAATGGTCTTAGTCTAATCGTATTTTAACTGCGGCAGATAGCGAATTATATGCCATGTTGGCCGAGTATATTTTAGTCTTACACACGTCGACATTCGCTTACGGTTGTGAAATGATAATATTTTTTTTTTTCAATTGTATCTACGCTTAAATTGCCATATGCATATTATAAATATTGCAATGAATAAAGTATAAACAAGATCATTATGGTCTCGTGATTTCGATATCCGAACTCCAATCACCGGATACCAATTTCGATCGTTTTGCAGTGTCATAATATTATTCACGCCAATACGCGATCTAAAGATTCAAAAACAACACACACGCTTTTGTATAATAATGGGTGTACTTAACAATTGGCCGCGTACCTTCATTGTGTCGTAATTTGTTCGACAACCGTCTGCCGTTAATTATTATCATTTTTCTACACATCAGATGTTGATACCCACGCGCATTTTACGCGTAGTTGTTTTTTATTCGCACTTTTTTATTACGTTATTATACATTTTTTTTTTTTTTAATATGTATACATAACTCCTATTTTTAAGAACATGCATGCACACTCACAACAGTCGTACAGAATTTCAAATCTGTGCGCCACAATCAGCACAACGCCTACTGTTATTGCTACTACCACAATAACTGCGGCACAGGCAAAACAATTCCACGGTGTCACTCAATCACGCGACGGTATATATTATACTCGGCTATTTTAATAATAATAATAATAATAATAACATTATTAATTTTTTAAGCATCTCTTATGGTAATTGTACAATTAAACTGGCGTGCGGTTAATTATTATTATTGTCATGAGCGTGTAACGAGCAAACAAAAGTTGAGACATGTGTCGTACCAAACGAATACGTTCATTCAATTTGTTTTTTTTTTAACGCTGTCAAAGTTTTCATTTTTCGATGCACTATAGGAACAATAATATAATAATGTGCGCGTGACAGACCAAAACAAATTTTACTCGCGTTAAATTCATCGCCGTCGTCGTCAAAGCGATGCGGGTTCATTTTTGCAATATATATATATATATATAAAATTGTAAACGTATATTGTAAATGAGTAATTTTTTATTTGCTCGTTTTCGTATATATGTAAGTAAACTTTAGGCTTAGATCACACTATGCGTTTTGTCGGTTGCCGACTAACAGGAGCCGATCGGTAATTGAACCGCAACACTCAAAATAAAATAGATTTAAATATGAAACGCGTTATTAGGGAGGGCCAGACTAGACCGATTTGCGGAACCGATTAAAAACCATCAGGAAGCGACCGCAATGTGTTGCGGTCCAACCGTCCGGATGCGTTTCGGGATGTAAAGCACAACACATGCAATTCAGTTTGTCCGATCACATTTGCGCGGATTATCGGTGACCGAAATTGAAAATTTTATGAATAATTAATAATCATTTTTAAATTTAAATAATTAAAAAACTTAAAATATATTTGTAATATACATTTATATATATTATATTTTATTTATTAGCATAATTAGTTTTAAATAAAAACAAATAATTCTAATTAATACGACCTTTTTGTTATTTTTTTTACTTATAATATTAGATACATTTCGCTAAAATAAAAATCAGTTTAAAATTAAAAACGATTTTCGGATTTTTTAATCTCATTTGTATGTATTCGGTTACCGATAAAACGCACAGTATGATCGATCGTCCCGATTTCGGTTAATTGGGATAGTATTTTTCGGTTGCCGACGAAACGCATAGTGTGATCCTAGCCTTATAGTAGACTAGATAGGATGAGTTAGATAGTTTGCCAAGGGTGCTTTTAAGATCATTAGACTAGGTTGAGCTGGCATACCGCATCATTTTGGCTGTAGCATTGTTTCATTGGCACTATGTGTTAAGTCATTAAAGTCTATTTTAAATTTCATGAAAATATTTTGTTTAGTTCGTACATAATTAATATTATGTAATAGTGCCTGACGAATATATTTTTAAACCAGAAATGATTAAAACAAAATCACAGGTAATAATAGTAGAACATTGCTATCATTATTCTTTTGTTTCATAATAAATATCTTGGTTCATAACATAACCATATAATTTATACACTGAAAGGTGTATTGAATATCGTTCTCTACTAGCGTGATTATCTTTAGTTTTTTAGACGATAAAGCCGTTTTCCATCACTTTTCTGACCTGTCAGTTTTTGTAATATTACGTTTTTATTCTTTTTATATATCGAAGTCTTTACCAAGCTGTCAGTCGTAATTTCACATGAGAAATGTTTGCCGTAAAACTCTAAACACATTTTTATCTCTGTGTCAACTATGACATTTGAACGTTTCCAGATCAAGCAAACATTAGCATTTTCACAGTTTTGGTCGTGCACGCTAGTGTTTTACTTACCCTCTCCCCTCACAATCTAGTGGCGTGCTTAAAACGTACCTAGCCAAACGATCTTACGATGTCATCGAAACACTGTATTTCGTATACAGCGCCTCGTACAATATGAAGGATCGTAATTTCCGGAGAAATAAATTGGAAAACGATGGACGATGACGACGCTGCATTGCTATATCGCGGTAAACATTATGTAATATTCTAACATCAATATATTAAAGAAACTTCGTGCATACATTGTGATATTACCATGGAGCTCGACACGCTAGTCGTACATCGTAGCCTGTAGGCGCTGAAATGCCGCAACGGTAATGAGTGCGTCGTATACTCGTATATGCATGCGAGTAGGTACTTTGTCTACAAGCAATAATTATAACAGAGCAGCAGGTATTATACTATTACATGTTATCGCCGTGTGTGTGTATGTGCGTATGTATACACACACACACACACACACACACATATATATATATATATAGCGTTTAATTACGGCACAGCGGACGTTTTTATACGATGACAAATAATTATTATACCCACACGGTTTAATCGATATATTTGGGTGTGTTCCGCCGTTTGAGTACACTATATGCGTTTATACGTATATATGTATGTATGTATGAGTATACAAACCTACGCTGCACAAAAATCCTTTGAAATGACGTAGTGGGCGTTGACGAACAAAATATATACCGGCAATAATAATAATAATAATATTAATATTGGAGGGACTGCAGCGTTTGTCGGTCGTTTCGTCCTAAGCAAACTTTGTACCACCAAACGCAATGACCGTCGTTTAAGTGTTTTAATGCTATACACACACACGCACACATATATATATATATATATATATATATATATATATATATATATTTATTGTAAAGCGCTTTGACGTTATATCGATTCGTTTTAATTCCGTATACTATTCCCCAGATCCTTTAGTGGTGGCTTAGTTATTATGGGGTTATAGGATAGGAGGGTGCAACTTGTAGAAGTTTCAGTATCCCCTCCGGTTTCCGGTCGTTGAATTTTTTTTTAACGTGTTAAATTTTCACCCTCGTAGCTCTTTTCATGAGATGCGAACGATAGCTTAAGATCTATATATATGTATAGACCTTATTAATTGTGACATGCGCGACATCGCGTCGTGCAAATCGATACGATGTTATATTGATATTGACAATAATCTTCTCGACTCCGTGGGAATTATCTATGCTCGTGGTGTATATGTATATCGAGAAGTTAAACGTTTAGTTCTATATAAGTACATTAAACGGGAAGACCGGTTTTCCAAATGTACGTGCGTCGTTCTTCTTACAGACGTCATACTACCATCGTCGCATATTATCATAATATCAAGATATCCTTAACCTGATGAATATTTTATGAATGTTCGATATATCGAAAAATAACCGTGCGTAACTATTTTTTTTATAATTTATTCTTCAAAAATTTTATCGCCCGAATATATTACGCAATGTTTTTGTTTTTTTTTTTTTTTTTTATCATCGTTATACTACTTTTTTCCCATTCTTTCCGGCAGCTTTGTCTATGCAGTTGATAGAATCGTTTATCTGCATAATACACGAACCCAGCGTCATTGAGATTATGCAAAAAATATATATTAACTATACGTATATGTACTCGGCGCACAGTCGATATAACTGCGTTGATGTATGTATATTATATAGTCAGGAAAGCGCATATTTTTAATTATAAATGTGAAGTGAGTGTGAGTTGTTCGAAAATGGTTAACCGACATATTATGCATAATAATGTATTGTCATATGCAGAGCAAGTGTGTAATGGTATACGGCTCATAGTTATTAGTGTGTTAAAACTATTAATGTTGTATTACATAGGTACATTTATAAATATATTAATACATTGTTCTATAATTATTATTATTTAGTATAATACTATAGTAGTATCCAATGAATAAAATAATATATATAAATGCAGCTGAAAACAAATGTAGGTCCCATGTTTTTTGGCGATAGGTTTTCAAATTTTCACCGTTTCTATTTGTCATAAATAACCTATATTAAACTGTATATTACGTATTTTTAATATAACTGTTGTATTTGATTGTTTTTTGCAGACGATTCTCCTACAGATGACCGGTGCAGGAGACGGTCGCGATTGCTGTCTGAGGGTGAGGTAGTGCTACTCGAGTCGGTAGCCCATCACGGTAAACGGTTACCCAACGGCCGGTTTCTTACCATGCACAAGCGTAGGCGGAAAAAGCTTACCACCCGATCCTTGTCCAACGAGAATGCGCCAGCGCTATTGGACGACATTCACCACGGCCAAGTCCAGGTTAGAATTTTAATCTAATATAGATCTTAATAAGCCATACACAATAATGTATTACAATATAACATCGATTTAATTATTCATATTTCAATCATTTAAATAATTAACAAATTATTTATAATTACGAAATACATATTACAATTAATGTATTACGTAGTTGTTATAAGCTATAAAGAAATGTATACGATCGTATTAAATTTAAAATTGTATTTATTTCATACCACATGACGTAACTTTTATAGTTCCTAATTGACGTCTACACTGGCAATCGGTATATACTATACATATAGTTATTATATAAGTATTTTTATAATAACATAGGTAGGTACATTTGCGTAAAACTAAGGGAATATATAATATTTTAAAGTACCTATATATTTTTTTAAATTAAAATACAATTGTTTATTTCAACTTATAAGATTTTAAAATATAATTAATCATTATGTGATATTTTATTTAATTTAAATTCTCTTTAAAAATTAGGGTCTATACTCTATACGAACAATCAAAAGAAGTCTTTGGATAAGTGTAGCTTAAAATCGTCATTTGTACAAAGTTGATTTGATTATATAGCTATTCAATAGCATGTATTTATTTAATTGTTTTTTCAGTATGACTAATATATTGAAGTTTGACTTTAATGATTGTCTTAAATTTAGATTTGGCAAATTTCGTTTAAAAATATTAATCATGCAAAAAAATAATCATTTTTAAGAATAAATTCTATCAAGAATTAACCAATTCTTCAATAAATAAAAGTGTAGTAATAAGTTATGTATTTTCAACGATTTGTTTTTATTGATTACTTCAAATTAAATTGCAAATGTTAATTCAAAGAACCTATTTTTATTTAATTAAGGTAACTAACGTGGATACAAATAAACATTTATTTGTAATTACTAATTATTACTAATTACTACTATATACCTTTTGTAAATTGAATTTATAGTTTAAAAATGGACAACTATAATATTTGTTTAATGAAATTAACATAGGTTACATATAATAATTATTGTGCGAACGTGTTTGCGTATTACAGTATATCATAGTCATTAATCAATAATTAAAATTTTTTTATTTTACTTATCTAATTAATTTACTATAAATTATTTATATTATAATATTATTATACTCGATTAATATTTACATAACAATACGTTATCGTATTTTTTGTATATATCATTGCATTTTTTCGTTAACACCTATTGAAAACTTGCAACGTATTTGTCAAATTAAAACTTTATGAATTATGATGTATCTAAAATTTAGCCCTCCCGTTATATTTTATAGATGATAAAAGTTAAATACAGATAAATAAATATTAATTAATTAAAATATTTGGAATAAGTTTGATAAGTTATAATATTACTCAAAATTGAACACATGATTTGCACTCTCAAGGTATAGAGTAAGTGCCTATTTAAATTATTCAGTTGTTTTATTATTTTTATTAATATAATGTGTTATAATAATAAAATATAGTAGTTTTAATATTTATAATATGGTTGCGAGATATTTGCAAATAACTTGTTATCATTATATGTTGACGATAATTATATAAGTAATCTTGACCAAGCATTGTGTAACACTGTTACTGTTTTATTGACTCAACATTATGTATATCATATACCTACCTATAATGATCAAATTGTTAGTAAATATCTAATTATAACATAATTTTTATAAGCATCGGATTATAAAAGATCATATATGATACATTCATACATTATATTACAATAATATGAGTAAACATTTAAAAATGAACCCATTATTCTAGACATTCAGAAAGGTATTCAAGTAACGTAGATTTAAAAGATTTTTATAATATTTTTGTAAACACCTTTAAACATAGTGACTTAACTTTTTTAATTTTATTGCAAAAGTGCTCCGAAATGTATGTAATTACATAATTCATTAACTTTATATTGTCAAGTGTGTGCCAATTAAAAATTGCTATGAAAAATACAATTTAAAAATAATAGTAAAATAAAAATTCCTAAAAAATATTACAATATGTAAAAATTGTGAAAAATGAAATATAAAATTATTGATATTTCATCATGTCCAATGTACATGTACGTTAATCAAAAATATTTTATTGTAGTAATAACTATAATAGTACTCAGTTAGTATAATTTATATTAAATATTGTTTAGGTACCTATGAATTACTGGGGATCAATAGTTTTAATAATTTCTCCGGGTTTCGTTTATATAGGTCATAGGACAATATAAGTATTATTGGGAACGCCCAAAGGAGTTCCCGTGATTTCCTGTCAATTTCGTACGGATCAAAGGAAATTGTTCGCCCTTTGATGTCCGTGGTATAATCTAATATTACTTTAACACAAAGCGCCAAATGTCTTATCCTGTCCCACTGTAAGAGATTATAATGCCTTTTGAGGATGAAACTACCCTAGAGGCTTGTTTACCAACAATTTGATTTTAGAACGCTAAATATATACATGTTGGCAACCGCGATAATAGCATTTACTCGCGAAATAATAGTCGTCTTTTTGTGTCATATTGTTTATTGTACATAAATTGTATCGTTTTAAAAATATGTTAATTATTTATTTAACTTGTATGATGCTCAATAGTTCAGCTATAACTTATAAGTTATAACTCTAATAATGAATTAACTATAATTATAAATTATTTAAAACAGTTTACAGAAAAACAAAATCTTATAATTTACTATACGATAAAATAATTAACGATGTGCAATCGTTTTAAAAAAGTGCATTACGTCATATCAATATAATATCTTATATTTCTCGTGTATGTAATAAAAAATATTCAATATAATATCTTATACAATGGAGTGATACTCTATACTATATGAGGGGTATGGTGTGACGTTTTTTACTACCTACCCGTTGTGTATTTGAAGTATTTCAATGTACATATACTTTTCCACCAATAAACAACGATAATATCTAATTTGGTTTGTTTATTCGAACTCAATGTGAGTTACCATCTATATGACGTATTATGTTGTATCGTTATATAATTCGAATGAATATTCTCGAAACGAGGTATATATAACATTATGACGTTGTTCATCAGCCATTTTTGCGTGTGCTAACCCTTCGTCCGTCTCGTACATGCTACTGACGCCTCTTGTTGAAGAGGTTATATTATACGTATTATTCTATGTGCGTCCACCAATTCGTCCGTCGTCTCCACCCACGGTGTACGCCCCTGTGCCTCGTACTTCGTCTCTTTATCCTTTTCGCCATCAGCCGGTTTATCATGTTCTATAACAGTAATAATAATATATTTAATATTCCTTCGAAAACATTTCGAAATATCTTTAATTAACTGTTGTCTCAGGCAATCCTCGTCGTTTTTGATTAATCGTGTAATTAATTAGAACCGCATATATATATTGCGGAGCGCAGTGTAAGTCGATTGCCGCCCCTCACTTTACCACTACCACTACCACCATCACCACAACACAAAAGCGCATATAAACGTTATTATTTATATAAAACTATATGCGTACATGTGTATGTTTACTCGTGTACGTAAAGATCGACGGGTTAAAGGAGGGTCGTATGTCAATTACACAAGTGAAATTTCATCGTCTGTTTTACCGAGGCCGTTATAAATTAGATTTTCGTTTTCCGCAGCTGCGCACACTTCATATATCAATATGCATATAGTATTTAATACTTATACCCAGAATGCTTAATAAATATATATAGTTTGGTTGTATAAATTATATAACGTATGTAGTAGTAGCTGAAGTGAACTGTAGCCTATAGGTATATGTATATGTGTATTTACTCCACAACTGTTTATGACTTTTACAATAATTTTCAAAACCTCCACCCAACGTACTCTGGCGTGTGCCCGAAAACTTTGCACCGAAAACTCGAAACTCGTAACGGTTGTGATCCGTCGGGAAACGCGTGTGTGAGAATGTCTCCCATCGATTAACCAGACAAACGCCACCACTACCACTTTCAACTACCAAAGTAAAATTTGTCCAACGTACGCATTTAATGTGTTGTTATTTGATACTTTGTACAATATTGCAGTGCTAATAATATTGGTATAGTTATACATGGTAATAGATACGTGTTTGGGAGCAAAAAAATTAATCGAATACTTTTTTTAAAAATATGCATAAAGTATATGTTTGCGATGTTTATAATAATATCTATAATATTTCTACGTCTTAAACTTAAAAAGAGCAGTTTCTATCTACCCCTCATCGTTAGCTGTCGCTTACCGCTAATTAATCGCTCAAAAGTTATCACGTTGCATGATTTAATTAATTATAAGTTTTTAAAATATATTGTTGGCTAACGGCAATGGCTGCTTTCTTGGGAAAAATTCCAGGACGAAAAATGTCAAATCTATGTTTCCTTCAACTCATCACTCGGATCAAATTTCAAGTTGTTAAAAACAGTTTTCAATTTAAAATATATCCAATAACTATAGAAATAAAATTTCACCAAGTCTACAATATTAAATCAATTATCATACTACTCTTAATATGAATGAAAAAAATAATTGTACGTACGATAACGCTATGATTGCCAACTTGGGTGATACACCGGACAATAATAGCTGTCAATTATGACATAAATTATATCAAACCCGGGAGCGTTATTACAAACGTCATTCAGTCTCTGTCGTATATGATTTTACTGGCTACCACACAAACGAAGTATAACATTGATCGGTGCTTCAATAACTTCGAACTGAGTTTGATGGCATATCGATAATTATCGTTAAACTCATTAAGTGAGTTCAACCAGTTCCTGGAACCCTTCAAAATAAGCTAAGCTCCTTAGTATTCTAACTTTTTGGTATTATAACATTAAACAAAATAGCTATAAGAAAGTTAAAATAATATTCGACTCATTCACGCCAACATGTGCCTCAAATCACCTCTTTTCGCCGTGCATAAACTGTCTTTGACTCAACTATCATTTTTTACACAACATACAATTAATGTCTCTATTGAAATGGTAAAATAAGCAACTACGTTACTATTATTGCTTGAGATGTATCGTAGTAAACATAGACAATTATCTCTTGCCTACCCACATTGTAGAACTACAATTTCTGTCTACCAAAATATCAAGTTATATATTGATCTTTAAGGTTCTTTTCAATTCATCACCAAGCACAATCTTTTCCCTCAGTCTTGGACCTCGTATAAAGTAATTTCTATATTAAAAGCCCACTCAAATTACTCCTTCTTTAACAGAAAGAACTTATTTAATATTAGTTATAATTTATCCTTTTACTTCTAGAACCACATGAATTATTTACGAGTAATTTTTTTTTACTAACTTCATCCAATTTTATTGATACTATTATACATAACTAATAAATAGTATCAAATATTAATAATATTATTAAAATTTATTTCTGGATGACTGAATATATTGTCAACGTTTATGATTTAGGAATTCCAATCAAATAAAGTCCAATAGATCACATAATTTTTCCTAAAATAAATGTAATTTATAAAAAAAATTTTTTTTAATACTTCATTATATTATGCCATGTTTCAACCGCTAAATTATTTTGGTTTATAAAGTTCCATTTTAACTCTCTAATTATCAACAGTTGATCAGAAGTTATAAACACTATATTTGAAATACTATAACTTTTTATTAATTCATTTTGTATATATGCATATATTGTAAAAGTTTTATAAAATATTCTTGAAACATAAGTATTACAAATAAATGCAAATATAAATTTTCGTACTTATATTAAAAAGTAAATGAAATATTTACTGTCAAATATTTGAATTACTTAATCGTTTGTAGAAAATGAACTGAAATAAAAAAAAAATGATTATGCTTTTATTTGTTTATATGCGACCTTTGGTAATAATGTTAGAAAATGGCGTATTTTAATATTAGATAATTTTAAAACAAATAAATACGTCATATAATATATAAAAATATAGATGGTGTTGACTTTCATGTGTCTTCGTAATGAAAACTTATTTTTAACTTATTTCTTTAACTATTTCTTTCGGTATTCGATTCATTAAAAATTTCCTTTCGTTCAATTTCTACATTTTTCAATTATGATAAATTGTTTGAACTTTTGACGCGATTGAAGTAGACATCTGAGCGAACTGGAATATTATAAACTTCTTTGAGCGGTTCACCCTTCAGTAACACTAAACAAAAGGGTCTGTACAATTTCTGTGCCAAAGTCTTAAGATTTTTTTTAGAACGGATAAAAAATAGAAAAAAAAAAGTGGGACAAATAAGATTTATAGACGCTATTCAGAGATTCCTGGATTGAAATTTAAAATTCCTTCAAAAACTTTTAACCATTTTTACTTATTTTCTGCGTCTACTCTGTGTCTTATGTCTTAGAGAACAATCGTTTTACAAAACCTTTGTGAACATCACTGAGCCATAAAGTAGACGATTATTTGTATTATTATAGTTATTATTTTTATCGTTTAAAAATATTGAAATATTTTAAAATCAATTGTGGTTAAAACGTTTTATATTACATAAGATCACAAAATTATTACGTCACAAATAAAAATTACCAACAATTTAAATGTATAGTTATAATAATGCTTATAATATTTAAATTATAAGTATAATATATACATTTATAATAATACATGAAATATAATATATATTATATAATATAGTACTTGTAATATGCACTTACCTACATTTACCTTATCTTCATTTGAAAGTAATTTTACGTCTAAATGTTATATGATTAAATTGGTGTATTATTACTGTATAATTTATTAACTATGACTGAATTAACGATTTAAGTATTTTTCTTTTTTTTTTTTTTTTGTAATATTCATATTATTTTATAGTTTTTGTAAAAAAACTGATTCAAAATGGTATATATTTTTATATTATATTTATTACTGACTATTAAGGTTAACTGTTAAAAAAAAAACAAAATTTACGTTACCAACATTACAGTAATCTTACGCATTTATTCAAAATATATAGTATACTATTTTTCCAACTTTATTACTTAAACGTTTCTTTAGTATTTCCAATTTGTTTTATTTTTAATATATTTTACTAGTGAAATATCTACAATCTTAAATTCAAAAAAACATTACGCAAATTATAACATTATATTTGTAAAGCTTTACTGATATTTTAATATTTGTTTATATTAATACAAATACTATTTTTATACATGTATTTCATACTCACGTAAGAGTTCTAAATTTTAAATGACACATTTAATATGATGTATAAGTTGTGTAATTTCTATATATTATTAACTGACATTTATGTTATTTTATTTTATTCACAGTGTGTGCTCAAGCACGTCTGGAAATGGCCGTTCAACGCTTTTGCATTAGACACAGCTACAGGGGGTAAGTAGAAAATACTGTTTTTCATATTTTCCTGTTAAAACATTTTTACTTACATTGTTAAAATATTTATGGAATATGGGTTTTGTTAATTTCATTGTATTTTCGCGGTGGTTACAAAAAAAAAAAAAACATTAATGCTCATCTCATGTCTTTTTTATTTTCATTCTTATAGACTTTGAATAATTAAACATACGTATCCAGGCCTAACATCTAGAAATTTGTAAAAAAAAAAATAAAATATCGGCGAGTAAATTGCTTTTTCAGAATTTAATGTAAATCTTGTGAAAGTTATTATCAAATATCTCATAAAAAAATTTTTAAATAGCTACTCCCACAAAAGAATACTTAAGTATTGGTCAAATTACCATAATTTACAAAATAGTTCTCAGTATTTGTAATTAATTTATTATCATATTACATTTTTTTAACATAACAATATATATACGTTTGTAATATTTGTATGTTAATAATATAGTTTTATGTTTGGTAGAGTCGTGTTCAATTGTAACGTTCAAAACATGTTTAGTCTAGAACCATCCCTCATGACTCGTTATAAGTATATTATGCCAATTTTTCATCGCAAAGTGTTTAGATAAACATTTGGAAATTGTTCCAAAACAATCCCATTGTGAATAATAGGAACTTAGTCGGCTCTTCACGCATTTAACGCCGTCATATACATTGTATTCACGTGAATATTCTACAATAACTAAACTGTGTATTTACCGTTTTCGAAATGTTCTATGCGACAACTGTTCAAACTAAAAATGTTATTACTGTGTGTCTGTGTGTAGTAATAACATTTTTTAATTATATTGTTATGTTAAATGTATTGCCATCATTCTTTTTTTATTTAATTTAATTTTTTGTTTTTGTGTAAATACATAATGCACAACACTTTCTCAAGGTAATGTAAATTAAAATAACAGTAAATGTACAAGTTTATAGCATTTGTTAAAAAAATAAAAACAACAACGATTTCAGTTTTTAGTAAAATAATCATTGTAAATAAAATGCGTAGTTTCTTAAAATAGTCTAATATCCTTACTCAGAAACTAAATTTTTTTTTATATAAATTTTAATAACAATATTGTTTTTTGTACTTTAAATGTATTGAATATCGAATTAGTCGATATTAGTCAGTAATTAATATTCAACAAACCCCTATTAATTTTTATAATGTTGAGTCCAATTTTATTATATATGAAAATTTAACACAGACATTAAAAGTTATACCTATTTAATCAACTTTTTTAAAAAATAAATTTGATGTTTTAGTCGTTTTTTTCATAGTTAAATATGTATTTTATTTATTTTTGTAGGAAGATCGCTTCCAGTACTTTGTGTTCATCTTTTCCATTGGTACGGTCTAATGGAACACTTCAAATTGGACGTGGTCCAAGTTTGGAAACTCTTTAGTAAGTAAAGCCTCCTGAGGCCCAACACGTATTTACACATTATCACTAGGTAGTTTAAGGTTATATTGACAGAAGTATATTATAAACAAAAAAAAATGGTGGGCTTTTGTGAAGATAAAACAAAATGTTCACTGTAGTGGACAATGGGCTTATAAAAATACAAAAATAATAAAATTAAGCTTGGACGCTAAAGCAGTTATCATAATTGTCTATTATAATGGACATTGGGTTTCAGGAGGTAAAAAAAAAAAATAAATAAAAAAATATTATTATTTTTATTATTATTTTTTATATAATACAATAAATTTATACAAAATTCATTATCACGTTATAAATATTAATTTAAAATCTTGTGTACTGACACAAAGCGTCTTTATAGTTTTAAAATTTGAGATTATATACTTACATGTATATTGTATTGCTTCGTGTTTTTACTTTATTATAGTATAATTTATATGTAGCTTAAATGTTTTCACAATATGCTATATTTTATTTTTGTCATAGAAATTATTTTCGCAATAGCATATAATTTGAAAATATATAAATGTTTGTTTTATATTATAAAAGAATATAATGGAATCATATGTGCATTGTGCAATAAAATAAAGTTAATTAAACTTATTAAAAGTTTTTTAAAGCTGTCACGATTTTTAATTACACGTAAAAATATGGGTTTTCAAAACTTTTTGTAAATTTAATTGCGTTTATTTAGTTTCACATATTATTTCTTTTTATTATTGCATTATATATAAATCAGAAAAACATTCATAAATATTTCATAAACTTAATAATAGTATAATAGTGTAGTGAAATGTATATATTTAAAAATAAATTAATATTCACGTATAAAAATAAAAATCATTAATTTTTTAGATTTTCTATAGTTATTTCGAAGGATTTATTGTTTTTAAAATGATTTTAAATTGTTTGGAAAATTATTTAAGTATATTTTTTTTCCATACCATGATGACGATAGATTATGAGACTTATGAATTCAAAAAATAGTCACATACCCGTATTTTTTATCTTCATACACATTCTTTTCGTAAACAAGTACTGTAAATAGTTTTTATCGCTTGATTTATTGAACCTTGCAGATACTAAGGATCAACAGTATCATGTATTTTTACACGTAGTCATGTGATACTTTTATAATCATTAATATAACTCTAAATTAGTATGATATATTTGTACAAAATCATTACATTTTGCTACCTATCAATATAGAATTAATTTAAGTTGACACTGCTTTTTACAAAATATAATTTTTTTTAAATTAGGTGTTTCCGAGATTGAAAAAAACTTTAAATATCTATATAATCGCACTTGACAATATACTGTGAATATTGGCAACCAACCATTCATTTTTTACACGAAACAAGTAATCATGAAAAAAATAAACAAGTACTATAGTTAATGGTGTTGCCAATTATATTAAAATATTTTCAACAACGTAAACCTTCGCTCACAGAAGTGACTGTTTTTTTGGATACACCTATGTATTATGCAGCAATTTCAATAATATAAGAATTTTCTCATACTTACATGTAACCATATTTAAAAAAAAATTAAGTGTTCATTAATATTGGTTAGTGAGCACACATTTAATATACTTATTCTATCACTTTTTTAGTGTTTGAAATATTGGTGCACTACCATTACTATCTTAATAACTTTTATTATTTTTGCAATACAGCGGTAATACTATTTATTTTAATATAACAACGACAATATTCTGTATACTATATATATTAAAACTGAAAACAATTTTATTTTATTTCGGTCAGTAAAAAGTCACTATTTTATTTAACTACCAATTACTGTTTATATTTTGATGGTGAACTATCAACATCTATTTATATTTATATTATGAAATTCAGTACCTTTTATGATTCGTACGCTTAAAGTACGTGCTTTTGTTGAGTTTTGATACCAATAATAAAATGGCATTATCAGCATTGTGTTTCATAAAATTTTCTCCATCATTGCGATTGGTCGTATTATTTCTATTAAATTTGTTGAATAGTATACATTTAAATATGATGTATTTAAAATTGATAAAAACAATAAAAAAAGTCTTGCACGTGTTTATTTTGTTTATAATTAGTTGATTTTTAAGAACTGCAGTATACAAATCATCATTATTTACAATAATATTCTCAGCAGAAATAACTTTCAAAAATTATAATATTTTATCAGATTTGTTTTCATACATTCTTTAGGCTGTATGACTTAACATTTGTCCGAACTGTATAAAATTAGACAATAATAAGTGTCGTCATTAAATGGCCTCGTTATGTTTCACTTATAATATATAGTTATAAAGGTAATTTCATACCGTTACGTTGTGCACAAAATTGTCTAAATTATATTTATATATAAGTTATATCAGTTGAAAATCAGTTCAATGAAATATGTGTATTGTAGGTCTTGACGTTATTTAAAAATATTTTTCTTTGGATTGAGAAAAAAAAATCAAAAAGTTGGTGGAAAAAATATAAGACCTCCTGGCGTGATATAGTTCTCAATTAAGGATGCCATATTTATGTTTTTTTTTTTTTTGTTAACATATTTTCATAGTTATTATTCATTAGGTAAGAATACCTATCTATTATTATTATTATTATTAATTTTTTTAAAAGATTCCTTAGAAATGTTACAATCAATACAAAATATTCTGCAAAATACATATCATACCTACGTTAAATATATTATTCAAATTATCTGTTCTTGTTTATTAATTTAGCTATTGATAAAGTTATCACGGGAGTTCCATTTAAAATACAAATATATTTCAGGCATTTATTCTAAATTATAATATTTATTCAATTTTTTTAATTTAAAAAAAGAACCCATTTATAATTTTATCGTCCAATTTAAATATTAATAAAGTATAAAATCTATATAAAATTGTATGGTTAAAAACGCACGTAATTGTGTAAATTATAAAATTACTCCTATATCGTATTATTCAGTAGGTAGTGAAGGATTTTATAATAATATTCTAATATAGTAAAAATGCACGTCTAGTGTATATAAATATTTTGATTTTTTCCTGGTATACCTGGGAGACCAAGTGACTTTTGACAAACCTGTACTTAATACGTGTCGATTTGAAAGCACAGACTATTATTGTTAACATTTTGAAACAATAATTATATTTAGCCAACAATCGATACCTGCAATTTTAAATAATTTATTTTTATGGTTCTTTGAAACTGATACTTTGTTTTATATCTAATAATGTCTTTGATCTGTTACGCTGTATTACAATTTATATACAACGTCTACACAATGTTTCTGGTATTTGTGTACTGCATTTTAATTTCCCATCGGTAGTTATGGCATTTATGTACATTCACATTTTTTACAAATTTTTTATCTAAAGACATCTATATTTTAGTAATAAAATTTTGGAATTTAGAACTAAAAAAAATACAAATTAAGTAGTCTTAGGTGTATAATAATATTACAATTTATATATATTTAATCGACTCTTTATCTTTACGACAACTACCTAATATATGGTTCTTAAATTATATTATTTTGTTTTTTGAAAATACAACATTTATTTGTTTATGCATATATGACATTGATTTTCATTGGCATGCTAGGAAAACATTCAAACATAAGTATAAGTTTTTTTTTTTTAACAACAATTACAATTCATTCATACAAAATGTATCGTAATCTTATGCTAGGCGTGAAATATTTATGAACAATATTGTTATGTAAATTATTGTTATTTTAGTTATTTAAATTAACCTTAGTTTATTATTGAAGCGTTTATTTTTAACACTCAACAAACATTTACTGCATATTAAAATATGTACTTAATGTCTTGAAATGAAATATATTAACTTAGAAATAACATTAACTAAAAATTGAAACCGATCGTTATTTATTACTATAATTATCCTAAGTGTTTGGGGTTACAATAATTTTTATATTTAAATTTATAAGTATTTTATTCGTGAAAAACTTCATCTCTTATTTTGTAAGTGTCCTCCTACCATTATGACATGCCACACGCATTTAGTATATTTAGTGTGCGATAGCATTTATCGTTCAACGTGTATATTATTATCTGCGACACTACATATTTAGGCGATATCTGATTATTATGCTAATACAATCTGGTCCTTGTTATTTTGGGTTCCACCGAGTTTATCGTATTTAATCCCAAGTTGGTGTTGGGAAAGTTTTAACGGAAAGATCACTTCGAGTACTATATAAAACGTTTGAAATTAAAAGTCAATAAAACTAGCTTGTTGAAGTATACATATGAAAGTAGGTACTAGATGACGATTACTGTTTGAATTTATAATTAAACCACGTTTTGCATATAATAACGTATTAGTATCTGTGTGAGAATTCATATTATAATTAATTTATTATTGTGTTCTAAATCGATTTTTTTTTTTTAAATGAACCACCTAAGATCTTTATTTTTTTTTTTAAGATTTAAATCTAACCGATGCATTGCGATTTAATATTTATATTTTAACGGCTAAAAAATATAAAAAATAAAAATAAATGGAAATTATTAAAATGTTATTTTAGGATATGATGTAAATAAGGAATTTACACAGAATTAAACTTATAAACGATCCTATTTATTTAAAATGTTCTTGTTACATAAACATAAAAGTACTCCGGAACGTGATATCCAAGGAAACAATTAACAAAGTTTTAATTTGAAAACACTTTCATTGATGTCTGAAATGAGTAGGTGTAGACTGTATGTACGTACTCAGCGTTTTTTTTTTTACTTTTTTTTTTTTTTTGTCATATTTACGGGTGAATATAAATGGTAATTTTTCAGTTAGTTTGTAAATTTTGTATAGATACTGTAGACATGTATAGTATTTGAAACCACGTACCTATCCCTTGAAAAATAAAATAAGCAAATTGACATTTTATCGCAGATTGTGAGTCTATAGTCTCTACAGCTATAAAAACGTACAAAAACTTAAATTGTTTAACATCTTCTCAAAAACATAGTATTATACTAATGGTATTAGAACATTATTATAATATATTATTATATACTTAAAATAAGTTATACAATCATAAATATCACGACAAAAATAAAACTCATTTATTGTCTAAGGTCTTTAAACGAGTATTTCTGCATTATTTGTTCACAGGTCTCATAGAAGAAGGGTACCACAGCACAAACCCGTATCACAATGCCATCCACGCTACCGACGTAACCCAGGCAATGCATTGTTTCCTGCAAGAAGACAAGGTTAGAAACACGTATTTGGTGTATACATTTATAACAATATTAAATGGGTTGTTGAATTTCATGATTTGTGCACTATAATATAGCTGAGTATATTCTACTATTATCTGTTATAGGCCATAATTAAGGTAACCGATTATTCGCAGTTGTCCCTTTTGTTTTAACCACAATTCAGGCATTTCGATTGTATTCCTTCGAATGCGTTTGTACATGTAATCATTAGTGTTTATAGTTGTCATAAGCAATGCTTAAATTTCGGAAGAAATTAATTTCCATTTTAGTAGGCATTAGTATTCATTATATATATATATATATATATGTGCATATTTTAATATTTAAAAATATGTAATTTAAGTGATAGTGACAAATTTTGATTTAAATAGAATAAAAAGTATAAGAACATCAGACTAGGGGAATTATTTTCTTGAAAAAAACGTCAATCTTTCAATAGTTTATCATTAACTAAAAAAGATAAACAGTTACATACGTTTGAAAGTTTTCACTTTAAGTATAATTCTTGTTTATTTTCATCCTATATGTATACAGTATGATATTGTTCCGTAATCGTTAATATAACAGCAATAGGAAGATTTTTGAATATAGTTTTATTCAACTACTATTGTATAAAAGTTGCGCGTGTATAATTTGTTTTATTTATCATTGAAACTTTATCTTTGGCATTCAAGATTCGACCATAATATAGCTTTTTATTTATGTATTGACTTTAAGCGTTTGAGTGCATAGAATACATAACGACCACATGTGCTTATGGCATTTAATAATTCACGAACCGTTTGACACTACATCAGATGACACTGCAGGGTAGTAATCCTAAAAATGTACTAACAGTACCAATATTTTGATAAAATATATACTATACGTTAACAATTTTTAATGAAAATATTGAATTATAATTAATTTTAAATTGATTATAGTGAATTATAAGCTTAAATATTAAAAGCTACTTATAAAATATGAGGTAACTCCTACAAAAATTTCAAAGCTGTGTTATAGTATTCAAATGGAATTTGATTTATATTAAAAACATTTCAGAAGTCAATATTTTTTAATTAATTTTCTTTCATGATATTAATTGTACTTTAAATATTTAAAAACACAATTATTTTGCTTAAAAGTATATAATATTCAAATAATAATATATTATTTTTACAGTATACATCATATTTTAATATATTTTTTTTTGTGAAAAAATAAGTGACTTTAGATAATACGCTAACTTTAGTTATTTAATATTACTTTAAATTAATAATTTTATAATTAATATGCATTTATATCTACATTTTTATTATTCAAACATTATGTAACAACATTTAATCGCTTTATACTATGTATATTATTATCATTAATATAATTGTTTGACGAGAAACCAAGTATTCCGGTTTTACGGCTATGATGGCCTCATGAGAATTAGAAAAAAACACTATCGTGTTTTATCCCTATTTATAATTAAATAATAATACATTGTTTGAAATCACAACAGCATTGTTGTAACTGGGGTTCATTCCGTTTGCATACATGTTCAAAGTTGCTTGATTATTCAGTTATCTGCAGTAATTTTTTTTTTTTTGTCATTTCCTTAGATATGGTATAATAATCATATTTTATTTGACCTCGTTACTCTTAAGAGGACGCCACACCCATGTGTGTTATCTCTGACTTACATACATACAACATGGCAAATTTTATGTTGTTAGCTTTAATATTAGAGTAAATTCATCTATTATCAAACTTCAATTTAATAATTTTATCTAGGCCATCTCATAGGCTTTTATTGATATTTTTAAAACTTTAAAATCCTCTTAGATCACTTTAAAATTATAATATTAATAAAAGCCTATGTGATGACTTAGATAAAATTCTTTCCTTAAGGTTTGGTAAAATAAGTAAAATTACTCTAATATTAAAGCTAATAACATAAAATGAATTCAGCTGAACGAAAATTTGCCATGTTGTATGTGTGTAAGACGGAGATAACACATACGGGCGTGGTATCCTCTTAATGTAGTATAACGTATATAGTACATACTTATTTTTTTATAAATATCTACATCAAAATCTATCCGTCGAAAATTGATATTATTTATAACATTTGGCTCTTCTGAAAGTAGCAAAAATTATAGGTTCGCAATACTCGTAAAAAGTTTGTATCGTAGATAATTTTTATACACATGTATAATGCATTGTTTGCATAAGTATTATTATAATTCCGTATCGTCGACAAAATGTATAAAAATAAAAGCTCCTATGTATTTTTAGAACACGTAGAACCAAAATCTTCCTTTATTATTGTTTATGTTGTTATTTTACTATTGTTATTATTGCTAAACTATATTGACAGGTTTAGTGCTGCTCGCAAAAGCCACACAATACGTGCTCGACCGAATTCAGAGCTAACGGTTTAAAAGTCTCGTGGTGTGCCAACGTCCCAAAATTATTTTTGACGTATCTCTATGTCGCATTATCGTCCGTTGTTATTATTTTAATATTTTTATTTCACTTTTAACCTTTGCGTGTTTAATTTTAGATAATGATTCGCTTGTAGACCTAAATATGAGTGCATAACATATATAGCACTGTTAACTGTAAAAATATTTTATTTTCCGCCATATAACGATTTAACTACACGTGACTGAATTGTTTTTATTACCTTTATCTTATTATTATTAATATAATTTTTTTAATCTATAAAATTGTTTGCAATTGCATTTTTTTTTTAACTTTATATAAATGTTTATCAATTCGAGAGTCAAACAATCGTGATCGTGTGTAAAAATATATAATGGCATTGAATTTTGGTATGAAGAAAATATAAATTACAAAAATAAATAGATGACTTGTTAGTAAAATGTGGATTTGTGTTGTACAAATGTTCATATCACATAATGCTTTAGTTAACCTATTTATGAAAATAAAAAATAAATACTATCAATTAAAATTATTATTCGGCGTTCATAATGACAAATTAATAACTAAAATCATTATTTCTATAAATGAAAAAAAAAATGTAGGTATCATCGGTATTTTTATTATTATTTGATAAATATTTAAATAATTAATAATAAAAAAATAAAATAATTACATGTTTAAACGAAACTTTGTGTTAAATTAAATGTAATATCTTAGTTAATTAGTATGAAAATATAAACTTAATGATGTGGCTTTCATGAATAATAATAACAACGATCGTAACAAAATAACGTAAAATTATTCATGTCAATCAAAAATTTCTTACAATGTATTGTTCTTAATTTATTTAATTCTTTTAAAACTAAAAAAATTGTTTATATTTCTATACTATTTAACTCAATACACATAAGCTTAATGTTTCGTTGTAGACTATACTGCATTCGTACAGTATTACAGTTTGTTAAAAAAAAAATCTTGAATACTCACGTATTGCATATTTAAATAAACACAAATTCAAGATAAGTACATTTGATTAGGTATCTTCGATAAATTATAATATCTCATATTATCCAGGGTGATAAATGTTAAATTGATACACACGTATAACGTAAAATATTAATCGACATGCAAAATGCGCGATATGATTAAAAAATAATATTTTTGTCTAAAAGCTTAAATATATATGGTTTTGTTTTACCATGTCCGATAATGTTTGAAAATCGTAATAATTCATTTAATGCGACGCTTAAGTCAAATTTGGCAATTTTTTGATTATTGCGTTGTCTATTATAACTGATATTTGCTGTGCAGTACTTAACTACATACTGTATTATCAAAATTATAAACCATCGTATCGCATTATTCCGTATCTTTAATTTACTATTAAATTTGAAAAAAACAATTAAACGTGTCGTGTAATATAGCCAATGTAGAAATGAGGATTATTTTTCTTTTCCTGAGTAGTTATTGTTTTAGGGTTTTACTTTATTTTTTTTTTTTTACGTTTTCACCGTTCTTTAAATAACTATTACAGTGTTTATTATTTTACTAAATATTATACGCGTTTTAAAATAATACAACACATAAAGTATTGTATCGGGTGTATTTATTAATTTTATTTTTTTATACTCCTTTATTTCTGCAGATCAAAAACTTCTTGACACCGCTTGAAATCATGGCGTCTCTTATAGCAGCTGTTGCTCACGATCTCGACCATCCAGGTGTCAATCAACCATTTCTTATCGCGACCAGTAACCATTTAGCCACTCTTTACGAGGTAATCTATTATATTATAATTGGATATTAAAGCATTTTACGGTATATTATTGTTATTTTCGAGCAATTAAAAACCGATATTTCGTGTTATCATAATATTTTATTTACTTATTGTTTACTAACTTTTTTTTTTCTGTTCATTAATTTAGAACACTTCGGTGCTAGAGAATCACCATTGGAGGTCGGCGATTGGCTGTCTGCTCGAAAGTCACGTAGCTGAGAAACTAAGTCCCATAAGACAAGACCTAGAGTCGCAAATAAGTTCACTGATCTTGGCCACGGATATTACAAGGCAACCAGAATTTTTGAAAAAATTCAACGTAAGTTTTCCTTAAAAGTGGGTTTATGTACATTTATGTGGGTGGGGATGAATGGGAAGATTACAATAATCTATTATAATATATAATATATTTACTTACCTTCCCAAGTTTAAGATCCATTGAGCCTTGGAACCATAGACGCTATTACTGACCCACTTTAAACTATCAAACTTCAACCCTTCTTACTTTAAAATATTTGAATTACTGCTAATGATGATTTTATATGAAAAAAATAAAATAATTACGACTAATAAAATAAAATAACCATGTAATATTATAGTATACACATTTATAAGTTATTTAAACAAAGATCGTCAAAAAAAAAAAAAAAGAAAGAAAGAAATTCGCCACGACCGTCGCTGTATAAAATCATAATTTAAAGTTTAACTCTAATATAAAATATTGCTACTTTATGCAAAAAACTCAAAAATACCTCGTATTAAAATTATTAATTGAATATTAAATTAATGATATTAATTTAATATGATAATACCACGCAGTAAGCATTACATTGTTTGAGACTCTTATAATCTCTAATTTCCAAACTCATATCATATTTTCATCAAATATCAATGTTATTTTGTAATTATTTTTATGATTTAAGTATGGATTTTTTTTTTAGCTCATACCACCTCTTCTCGTTCTTATCTCTGTGCTCTGTGGTTATATTATTATTTAGTATATATTTTTTGTATATGAAACACATTTGAAACGCACGAAAACTTTTTTTCACTTATATGATCTCGACTTTCCATGTTTAATTCATGAATTCCTTTTTCAAAATAGGACGAAAAAATACTTTTATTATTTTTTCCTACTATCTTTTTTGCCATAAAAATATTTAACATTCTTCAAGTATGAATATTTAATGTTTTTTCCAGATGCGTGTAAGTACGATGTATGTAATGTACAATATATATATATATATATATACATATATGTTCTTTTTTCGAATATCCAACTCAAACGTTGATATGATGTTGATAAGTTTTTTTGTGCTCAGTATTATTTTATATATCACCGTTTTAAGTTAAAGAAAATTAAGTAGTTTTTTTTAATCAGATAAATCTCTTGTTATTACTATTTGTTTTTTTCTTTTGATTGATTTCAAGTATATTTTTTAAATAATTATTTAACAAACAATGTATTTTAATTTATGTACTACATTTTAATTAAATATATTATTATTACAAAATTAAAATAAATATATTATACAATCAGTCATCATATTATTTGCTCAAAAAACTTTTCTAATATAATACAATAAAAAACAATAATTAAAGCTTGTTAAATGATTTCATTTTTATGAAATATTTGTGTCAGTTGTCATTAATATATAAAATATTGTAGGTATTTGTGTAAATTGTGTTTTCAAAACACTGCACAGTACACAATTCATTTTATGCTTTAAATTCAGCGCGTTTTAAAATAATTTTCTGACCTAACTGCCTATTAATGTGTATTGTATTATTCGTTCTTAACCATTTTATTTTTAATGAAATATTTAACAGGACTATCTGGAAAATGACGAATTGGACATGAAGGATCCAGAGTTGCGGCACTTCATACTACAGATAGCACTTAAGTGTGCTGACATATCGAACCCGTGCAGGCCGTGGGACGTGAGTCGCAAATGGAGTCTGAAGGTTTGCGACGAATTTTTCAGACAAGGCGACTACGAAAGGCAGTTGGGATTGCCAGTCACTGATATTTGTGATCGATACAACAATACGGTGCCAAAAATTCAAACTGGTACGTGAAATTTCCTGTAATGTTCATATCATGATTAGGGTTAGACCACGTATATAATACATAATATACAATAAACTTTTCATGTAGTTTGTATTATATTTTCATGATCTAAGAGTCTTTAAATAATTAATTATATTCATATTTTTATTAAAATTCAAGATAAACTCACGAATACCGAGGACTTATCTAATTGAAGAGTACTAAATATAATGACCAACAACCGAAAAAATAAAAGCGTTTTGTCTAAAAACAGCCATACCTATGTTTCATTACAGTATGTTTGTTTATATAAATGCACACGAAACGTATTTTTTTTTATTTTTCTATTTTTGAACACGGTTTTTATTTTTGGTTTATTCATAACTCATAGGATACACATTTAGTGTTTATTTTTCATTTGAGTATATTTGTGTATTATATATCGTCGAATTATTAAACCTCAATACGCACGTATATAACGTTAAACTGATTAAAAAGAACAGTAGGTATATTAAAAATTAATAAATTATTATGTATACAGTATTTAATGTTATTTAATTTAAAACAATTGAAGAACTAATACGTTTAAATCAGGTACTTATTACATAGTCTTATTCTAATATACAGGTCTAATAATTTTAATCCACATAGGTAATGATAATCGTCTTTATCGAGTAAAATTTAATTTGATGTTGTAATGCATTTGATATTAAAGTAAATCACACCGTACTGTAATTGTATTAGTTTGAAATTATTATTTGATTTTATGTTTGCATATAAATGGTTTAGCCCGTAAATCCATTTGAATATAGATTTTCGGAAAATTTGCCTATAATTTATTGTTTTATATTATTATGATATATAATAGAAATATTGTTGTATATATTTGTTCGCCGAACAAAATAATAATATATTATATATTTAATTTTATTGTTTTTGTTTTCGATTTTTTTTTCTTTTCATTAGTATTCTTCAAGTTCATGGTGTTACCGTTGTTCAATTTATGGCACAAGTTTTTGGACACCAAGCTGTCGCACTCGATGATGGAAAACTTAAGGAAGAACCAACAGCAATGGGAAGAGCTCCGGGAACGCGAAAGCTGCGACGAGCAGCAACTGATTGCGGACGCCGACGACATGATGCTTGAACCGGAAAACGAACCGGATACGCTGCAGCAACAGCAGCAGAACCGCCGGGGCTCGCTTCCGGCCGTCATGCTGGAGACCGTAGACAAGATGGGTCGCCGGCACTCGGTGCCCCTGAACCTGGCTCGGGTCACCGGCCACGGGTTGCCGTGCACGGTACTGCGCCGAGAAAGCTTGCAGGGCGCGCTGCCCTCCACGTTGCTGGTGCAGGCGGAAAACCGGCGACGGTTCACGCTTGGTCAGATCCCGTATCTGGAGGAAGAAGAGGAGGGCCTAAGTATGTCGGTGGGCTCGTCGAGGAGTAGCGGACTGCAGCGGTCGTCCGACGGCGGTGGTTGCGGCGGTGGCAGCAGTAACATGAGCAACATGGACGACCGGCCGGTAAGCGCCGAAAATCTGATACCGGAACCAAGTATTGCGACCATCACGAACACGGCCGATGCAAGCCGGCTGTGCAACGTCATACACGGCGTCACATCACCGGTCCTCGGGTACCAGGCGACGGCTGGAAGCTCCAGAGGCCTGACCAGGCAGCAGACGTTCCCTCCCATCCAGCCGTACGTCCGTGCTCGGTACCTGTCCACCGGTGGTGATACAGCGGCGCCGTGTTCGTCGTCCAGCGGCGGCACGTCGGCCGTGTCCACGGCGTCCAGCCGGACCGGTTCGACCAGCAGCGAAGGTTGTCAGTCGGCTGGCGGTGGTGGTGGCGGTAGCCCCGGTCCTGGTGGAAACGGCACGAAACGAGACTCGATCCTGGACACGGACCGGGTGTTTAAGTTAGCCAGATTTTCATCCAATAAGGAGAAGGAAAACGTCGATCCTGCAGCGCGGACCAACGCGGAAATCAGGCGTAATAGCAATCACGTGAACCAGGTGGGTGCCCACGGTGCTTCTATAAATATATAAATAAATCACGAAAGCTCACTCCCTGCGCGCACACTAAGTTCCTGGTTTCTAAACGAATTTAAATAAAACACAATAAACTATAATTCCATAAACAATATTAAAAAACGATTTTAGTAAAAATAATTCTAAAATCACGTTTGAAAACCTAAAATTAATGTTCGTTTGGATAGGGCTTATAGATTTTAAAACTACTAAATCAATTGTCATCAAATATTTCAGGCATAATTTTTGAGACTTGGAAAATATTCATAGCTACATTTTTTTAGAAAATCGTTTTTGCATGATTTGGTGTCTTGTAAACCATTTTATTAATCGTATTTCAAGATTTTACTTTTTTTTTTTTAATTTCAACAAATATATAATACTACAGTTTACAATTTAAATTTAAATAATTCATTGTAGAAAGTTCTGAACAAGTAGTAAATTTGTTCTAAGTGCCTATTAAGTAGAAAGTTATAAATATTGATGAGCATAGTAAATTATATAAATTACGAGTATAATGGATTGTAACCAGCATCTGTATTTATTTTATGACGATTTCATGTTAGAAGAGGGTAATCATTAATTTATATATTTAGATGTATTTGCTGTATTTTATTTTATTTCTATTCAATCTGCGGTCTTACTTAAAACTCCAATTGTATAAATTCATAAAGTTAAGTATTGATAAAATGAATAACAAAGTCAATTATTTAAACAAAAGATTAATATTAATCCAGTTAGTAAGTTTTGATTGCCTACATTTTTTTTTTTTCGTAAACATTTTTAGAGTCGATTGATTTTTATCTTGTAAATGCTATAATTTAAATATTTTGCTAATCTATAATCGCATAGAATGGTCACTCACTTTTTTAACAATGGAGTTTCTTAGGTCTTTTGGGAATATATATATATATATCCTTTTTGGTGCGACGCTTATCAAGATTCCTTTTTTTATTTTTCCTTCGTTCAAAGGACTTTACTATAGTTAATGAATAGTAATTATTGTTTCACTATTTTATTTTTTATATGTAAAATAAATAAATTTTTTGTAAATCCCCGCAGTACTGTGACTACTACAGACTATTGACTACTCTAATTACTGAACTATAATTATTTATTATTATTCACTCTGAATAACGTAATGTGTTTTTCATGAATACCTTAATTATGTGAAAATTAATATCAGAATATGTTTTATACCAATATATATATATATATCTTAATCCAAATACGTAGAAATAATAAATTGTCTCTCGTTTTTTATCAAATAGATTTTGACAAGACGACGAGGTTCAGCACCGGTCGGCGCTGGAAACGGTGATAGTATAATAGGACACACGACAGCCGGCAAGAGCCAAGAAGCAACTATTCCTAGACGCGGGTCTGTGCCGTCAGATTTTTCCAAACAGAGTAAACAAATTTTATTTATATTTTAAGCAATTGTATATTTTTTTTTTTTTTTAATTACTTTTATTAATTTTTTATAACATTTTAATTTTTTTTCAAAGTTTTTTTTTTAACATTTTTACCATAATATTTTATTTGTGAATGACCGCAGTCACGGCGCTTTTATATCAACGTACTTGTGCACTTGTGGTTAATGCATGGCTTTCTATCGCAGGTGCCTTTTTTAAGGTGGTGGCCACAGGGCCACTGAGCACAAATAGCCGGAAGCAAGGCGCGAGACGTTCGTCGCTACCGTATGATTCCAATATTGGATTATCGAGCTCGCCTCTTGTTTCTCCTTCCCGGCCAGGTGAGACGATCATCGATTATTAGAAAGCAAAGAAAAATAACATCTACTTCTACACACTATCATATTTTTATCATATAACAATATACTCGAATTACCTATAACAACATACAATGAATTATTAATGGGAATTTTTGTCAGTCAATACGCTTTGCTTTTTAATGACATGTTAACAATTTATATAAGTTGTTTTTAGACTGTTGTCTTTGTTACTGTATTTATTTTTGCTTATTTAGCAATTTTCATATTTTTTTATTAGATCAATACATTTTATTATAACGGTGAACTAAATGATCTGCCATTGTTTAAGGTGAACAATAAATATTATCAAAACTCAATTCATATTAACATAAACCATTTGAATTTTAATATATATTTTTTTTTAATAATTAACTAAGTACCAACCATTAACTAATATTTTGAAATTAACAATGGAAAAATGTTCATTACTTGTGATTAATAATATAATTTAAATTTTTATACAAATATTTCTGCCTCGTTTTTCATTTGTTCGCTTTTTATAACCCATCAACTGTGAAATCAAAATTACAATTATATTGTTTCAGTAAATAGCATGGGTGATATTATTTGGTTGTAATTCATTATTTTAGATGATTATTTTATAGAATTATTATATATCGTCTATATGATGTGTAATTCGAATTATAAACAGTTTTTAAAAAAGACTTGATAACTGTCTAATAAAAATTTCACTGTAAAATTTACAATTCCTTTTTTATTGTTTTATTTTTATTATTTTAAGGCCGAATGTTATGATATCAATTTTATCGGCGACAATAAAAATAGGTTTTTTTAATGTGGAATGCGGTGGGTTTACTATACGTATATGATATGCGTTTATAATTAGTATAATAGTTGTATTAAATATACATGTGGTGTATTTGAGAATAGTGAATTTTCCTTACAACCGTAAAATTATATTTATATATCATATTAATGGCATTAATTTCTTGAATTTTTTATTTTTATCGTAAAATTTTAAAGTTTTTAAATATTTATAGCTTTGAATTATATTATAAATAAGGGTACCTAATACATTTTTTAAAACTTAAGACATAAAATAAATATTAATTTAGTTTTATAAAATATTAGATTAATATTTGATTGTAATAAATTGGTTTTAATTTTTAGACCGACACAATTTTATAGTAATTATTATAAGAAAATATTAAAATGTTAGTCTTGTCAATTTTCTCTTGACATTATGGATGGTCGTCCTCTATCCACCTCCTCCTAAAAAAAATAATAAGTCTCAAGTGCGCAATAATAGAATTATGATATCATATTGTTTTGCTACATCCATTATTAGTCTACGATAATTTGTATAAAATTTGAGATCTTGTGGTGTGGTTGCAGAGAGAAGAGGTTCAGACGGGAGCCGACCGGGTAGCCGAAGACGTCGCAGAAAATCAATGAAGCGACGGAGCTCCGGCGGACCGGACGTATTGCTATCCACCGGCCAGTCAATGGATTCGTTCCTGGCGCACCGCCGCGGTTCCTTACCCGTCGAGATACTTGCCACGTCCTTCTCGGGTAAATATATAGGACATGATTACAGAAATTATAATCATCAAAGCATTTGAAACTATTTCAATTGATTTAAAAACAATTTTCTTTTCTTTTGTCGAAAAATACATAAATGCTATTGTCGATTTGTTAAAACTATATAATTATCGCATTCGATGTAATAATTATTCTTAGGCCTACGGCTAAGTATTAACGACTTGAACTGTGTCAGTATAATAATATTTATTGATACTGGCTTACTGTACTTTTTGAGAAAACTACAATATTATTGAAAACCCTATCACTCGCGTAGTCTTTGTAAAGAAGTTTCTACTCTGCTCAACGATCGTTAATCGTTTTCTATCCATAATAATTGGTAACCCTGAAATACGCACGTTACTTAAAATTCTTTCCTCGATACAGTTTGTACATACATCTTGCAAATTAAAATCTATCGCTTCGAGTTAAATGTAATACCTATGTCATTATTATAATGTATAAAACTTATTTCTTTCAGGGCCACATTGAGAAAATTGATCATCGAATTTTTACATCGTAGACTGACAAATTTATTTCTGGACTATAAATATGCAAGTCGGCAGTTGCGATGATATTTGCACGAAGTTCTCGGTACTTTGTATTATTACCTATATAATACGCTAATTATTGACAAACGAAGCGTAAATATTTTATGGTCTTCCTAGTGCATTATTCTTAAACAAACAAAAAAAAAAAAAAAAAACAATAATGGAATCTATTGATTTATTTATTTTAATTGACCAAATCTCGACGCTTATGGTTCGTTTTTGATTCTCGGTAACTATAAGCTTAACACTTCTAAACATTAATATTAAATGTAAATATAAAACATATTCATTTACTGATACGAATCATATATATATATACATACATATTATATAATTGATAAATTGTATTATGTATGATCACTTAACTGTTTATTTTAAACAGTTTTTCACTCATTTCTAACTGTGTATATGTGGTACATATCATGCATTTGTGTTGACCATCTTTGCCTTTTTTACAACTATTATTATTAGTCTAAGCTTAATAGGGCACGTCGCATGCCGCCTTTGCATGTGCGAACCTGTGTCGCTCAGTTTACCTTAAGGTAACATTCTGAAGGATCTGTTGATGCATATTTTAATCGTTATCCATCCACATAAAACATATTGTATTTAGTGCTCCGCTGTATAATACATGTCAAGACCGATTTACTTGGGAAATAAATGTTTAAAAAGTATAAAATATGCTTCCACGGTATGATACATGAAAATAAAATATGATTTCGAGTCATTTGAATTCGATCGACTGCATTAAACTATGTGTGGTCCACAGTAGGCATAGGATCATCTGTGTAGATCACAATTTTATTATTGAATGACATCAAATACATTGTGCTGTTCAAATGTAGTATATATTTTTTTCCTTCTTCTTCTTCTTCTTCTTCTTCTTATTTTTATTTTTATTTTTATTATAATTATAATTATTATTATTTTTTTTTTTTTAATAAGTGTAACGAAAAATCACTGCCATTGTACTGATATTCTTCATTATAATACTACAATTTTTGCGCATTGCGTTATGCTTTAGTTTGATTATTAATTTTGAGTTACTAATTTAGATAATCATTTTATTAAGTTTTTCTTTGATTAAATTAATCCTCTTTGAGTTTATTTATCTGTTTTAAGTGCCAAATATGAGATAGTATTGAAACAATAACTTCCGTATTTTTAAAATCCCTCTTTATAGGTACAATAAAATAAAAATAAAAAATGAAAAATTGAACAAAAATATGCTAAAACTTATGTCTTAATCAAAAAATATGGTTTCTCTCTAGTCAAATTCAATAAGATTTTTATTAGTATTTGAATAACTCTACTATCGACGAATCTCTTTGATTATATCTACTTAAGAAAAAATAACTAACCGTTGCTTAAAATTCTTCCATACGTAAAAATATATATATTTATATATTCATAAAATAATCAAGTCTAAAAATTATTTAATAATGATCTGCTCCATTTAACGGAAAAATTATGTAAAATATTATTCATTCGGACGTGTTTATTTATTTATAATATTAATCAAAAAATAAATTTAAACAACTGAACTATATTATTAATTTAATTTATAAAATAATTATGTGGAAAAGTATGTACCTATTATAATATTGATGTACATTGTTTATTCTAAACAGAAATAAGTATACACTTACACGTTATAATATGTTCTTCATTTATTAAAACCTTATTCAACAGATAACGTTGATAGTTTTATTTGTAGAATGATTTTATTTTATCATGATAATTACTTTCTTTTCTTTTTTTCGTAAGTGTTTTACAATAAAAAAAATCATTATTATTATTATTATTTTGCTAATTAAAAGCTTAATTTAGATGCTAAACAATTGGCTAAATTCGAAATGCGCTTTTTTCTAACTACTGGGGATTTTAAACACGGAAAATCAATAATACTTCTATATATAGGCGTGTAACTTAATCTCAATATTTTGTATAATAATAATAATGATAATAATTATGTCTTAAAAACGCACATCACACGTTTTGTTTTTAAAACTAATATCTTGTATTATTATTATTTAGCAGTTATTTTATTATTGTCATTATTTTTGTTGTCGATTAATAAAGGTGAATGTATTTAGTGTTGATTTTTTTTTTGTTTTTGTGAATTTCTAGTTATTTTTTTCTTTTTTTTTTTTTTTCTTTTTTTTAAATAACCCTTATTTGCAAATTATATAAGTACTCCCGTCCTAAAAAAGTTATACATACGTTATTATTGTCATAATATATTTTACTTAATCATAATATTATACTCTGTAAAATAATATTGCGATTGTCCAACAAATACATTTTTTTTTTTTTTAACGAACATCAGTATCTATACATTATTATTGTTATTATTATTATTATTATTATTATTATACCAAGGTGATTACACTGCGGTTATATTAAGAAATATGATATTATAATCTTCCCAATACTGTTTCCAAGAAAATGTGTGACAATTAAAAAATAGCGTACCCATTTTAATGAAATAGTATTTTCATTATTGAATAATATTGTATTGTATGTTCTAAAACGTAATGATTTCTATAATAAAAGTATATCGTTAATGCCAATTATAAGGATGTTAAGTTAATTTAATTGTATAAGAGTATTATGTTTAATCCATAACACAGTATTATTGTCAATAATTATAGATATTAATTATTATATTATTATTATCTTAGCATTGCATGAGTGCAGGCTACCATCAATGGCGTATTTATGTGGGTTGATTTCGGTCTTTAAACAATGCTGAAGCCGAATCGATAAAATGAACGTCTTAATAATGTTAATAATAATATAATTCAAATTTTTATTTTGTAGTCTGCTTTATAATCTATAATAACCACGCCCACGGATATTATCCAGCTATTGGTTGTATACTTCTATAACCTATACAAATAAGTTGATATTGTTCAAAGGTTGTCTTGAACCAACAAAAGTCATAAGAACTAAACTTTTCTTATGGATCCTCTCGTGTTTTCAATTATTTGCATTTCGTTCTCAAAGCGTAAGACTTATAAATAAGGTAAGTAATATAATTTTCTTCAGTTGTTATATTACATCGCGCACGTGAAACTCTTAATCAAGTATTTAAAATATTATTTAAATTTTTTTTAAATAAAAGCTAATTGAACTTCTATTAGGTACTTAGTAAGCTTTAAAATTAAAATAATAATAAAAAAATTTATAGAATAAAGTGAAAATACAATTAAATAGCGTTGACACAATTTTCACAAAATACATTCTCGTCCTGTCTAAGAAAAACAAATTATTACATATTTAATATATTTTGTAAACATCAATCAGTGAGTACCTATATATTTTTATTCTGTGATATTTTTGTGAAAATTATTTACTAACATCAATTATTTATTCAAAAAATTATATTGGTTGAATATCAAAAAACACGCTTATACTAGATTGCATATTATAATATAATGAAGAAGAAATGTAGCTTTTAACAAATATATTTCAGTTAACTTTCTATAAATATAAAAAAAAAATTTTACCGTTATCAAATCAACCAAATCCTATCTATACTTATCTATCTATTATCACGCTAATATCTTAATAATACTTAATATTATTAAGTATGATATTAGTTTGATAATATGAAATCATAAAATTCATTTAAAAAAAGTACATTATTTTAGTATAGACAGGATTTGGTTGATTTGATAACGGTAAAATTTATTTTTTATATTTATAGAAAGTTAACTGAAATATACTTGTTAAAAGCTTAATTTCTTCTTCAGTAATTTATTGTAATATATATATGTGTATTTTTAATTTAAAAGTTTTATTTTAAACTTTAAAGTTATAGAATGGGCCTTAAAAATATAAATTCATATAAGATTGGTCGATATGAATATTATAATAAATTTGAATAAAGATAAATAAAGCACACATTACCTTATAAAAAGTGAACTACAAAAGCGATGCGTCATCAAAGCTGATCCCAACTACACTACCTACACTGTGTGATCATAGTCGTATTATTGAAATTTATAACGTAATAATATTTCATGATATGATACCGAAAAAAACAAGTTTATTGTATTGAATGAAATATTTGAAGAAGGGTCAGAGAAAAGTTCAAAGAGATAAAACAATGAAATATGTACATAATATAAGTATCTTTTTTTAGCATAAAAATACTTTTTCGAGAAATCATATTCAACTCAAGGTACTAAATAACTATATTGTATAAAAATAATATAAATAATAGCCTATTATTAATGAGTATGCAGGGTTGATAAATTATTTAAAATAAAAAAATAATAGCTATAAAACTTAAGGATTATAACCAATCTATAACTATACTAAACAAATTTTTCGTCGAACTACACGGAAAAAAATAAAGGTTTAACCCAATTATTTAAATGGTTATTTTAATCGTATTTTCAGGTTAACATAGGGACAATCTATAAGAATAGTTATAAATACTAAATTGGATTAATTAATAATATTTAGCTGTTTCAACTTTATATTTAGTCGCAATTTCAATAAAACTATTGCATTGTAGGAATTAAACAATATAGTTATGCTTACTATTACATGGGATTGCTTTACCTAAATATTATAGTTGGTTCAACCAATATATTAGATTAGAATTAATAAAATCAACCTGTTTTACTATCAACGTAACTTAACTGTTTAGTTAACCTGACTTTAGTTTTATTTTATTCAACCATGCATAATAGTTAGTAAAAGTAATGTTTACTATATATTTATTTAACCTAACCTATTTAGTGGATTACAATTTATTGTTTGGATTATCAAATCAACTAAAATGTGTAGTAGTCCCAACTTTATTTTTGTTCTATTTAACTTTGTGTAAAGTACTAATGTTACAAATTTATTACAAGGGTTACATTATATATATTTATTACATTAGGTACCTAATACCTATAATCAGGCAAACCAAAAATATGTACCATAATGTCCATGTATTAGGTATATTTACATTATACTACATAGGTAAATAACTACACTTGACAGTCGTGAATCCAGAAGAATGTACTACTGCACTGTAGTAATCATACATAGTTGTTAAATATTTATTAGTTACCTATCTTTCATATAATACTAGGGTATACAGTACACACATAGTTATTTACTATTTAATTGATGAATGATACTAATTTGCTAATATTAGGAAATATCTTGGAACAAATTAAATAAATAAACAATATAAATATATTAAATAAGATTTATTTAAAGTATAAAAAGAAACAAAATAATACATATAATAATATACAAATAATTAAGACTTAAACACTATATACATGGTTCCATTATTATTAGGGGAAGATGTACATGGGTTTTGAAAACTTGGTATATTATTAAATGATGTACAAAAATATAAACATGATGTTAAAGTAATCTACCAGACTTGTACATGATCATCAAATTGTATTGTTTCATATTTATGGCACAAAAAAAAAAGGATTATTATCAACAATATATATATATATATATATTTAATTAAACCAAATATGAGAATATTTTCAAAATCAAGTACTATTGACATATTACAAGCATAGCGAGTTCCTTTTGTTTTAAACCTTAAAATATAGTTACAGTTATGTATGTCTAAATTATTAAAGATTACTCTAGAAGAAGAGTCTATTTGGGATTTAATTTTATCTATTGTGTATTTTGATAATTTCATAGTCTGTCCAATGTCTATGGTAGAAGAAAAACAATTTTTTGATAAAAATTTACAGGTAAGTTTTAACTGATATTTGTTACTTAAAGTCAAACAAATATTTTTCCTGCTAGTAATAGCATTAGCATTTATTTTAAATGCTCTATGTTTCGGTTCGAAACGCATAGAACAAATATTTATTAAAGGTCCAACTTCATTCATAATTCTTGGATAGTGTAGTAAATGATGGTGTTTAGGTTTTAAATTACAATTAAATAATTTTAAATATAATTTATGGTGCTCGGTGATTAGAGTCTTCAGTAATATATGATATTCTTTTTGAATATATTTAGAAGTAATAATATCCATAATTTGTTTTAAAATCACAAAGACTTGCCAAATTTCAGACGATTTTGGAATTAAATCTATTATTTGGCCAAAAAATCTAATAAAACAAAACATTTTACTGGCTGACATCTTTAATTTACCTTTTTTTTTAAAAATCTAATGATATCATTTGAAGACGGTTTTGAATGTCAATTGGTCCATAACTAAAATATTGGATTCGATTAT